CTTTGAGGACTCATCCCAGTATTTACCATTATGATTTGTCATTTACAGCAGTGGTGCCATGATTTTTGGGAGGAAGAGGAATTAGAAATTGAGAAAGTCTGGAGGTGGGGAGGGAAGGTTGGGTTGTTTTTTTACCTGAATTGGCCAAATCAACACTCATGAAAGAGATCCTTGCTAAAGGGGCTGCGATGCCAAGTATGAGAGGCCTGACAGCAATTTTTTCACCTTTCACCATATGGCAAAATAATTACTTTGAATGAGCATCAGCTTCACAGGGAAGCAAAGAAATGAATTGTAATTCAAGATCAGTTTGTCAGGAAAACAAACACATTTTGAATGCCCAGAGGAAGGTCTTGTGTTCTCTGTGGGGGTCTCAGCTGAGAACCAAGACAAGTCTCCCATGGGGGCAAGACCTGCAGTGAAACCCTGTCCCTTCCCACCCTCTGGTAGGAAATTCTCCTCCTTCTTTTCCCTTTCCCCCCTTCTGAGAAGGTTGTCCTGGTGGCCACGGGGGACAAGGGGAGCAGTTCCTCCTGCCACAGACCTGCCCAGAGACCTGCACGTGTTTAAACCCATTTCAGGAGTATTTCAGTGCAAATTTCCCTACTCCCTTCTGTTCATTAACCTTTCCCGGAGTGCTAATTCTGCATTCAGACAGAAGGTCAAAGCCCTCGGCTGATTTTTTTTCAGGAGAATTAAGTGTCTTATCTGCAATATTCTGGAGAGAAATACCACGCCAGGAGACTCCTCAAAGCCTCTTGACTGCACTGCCGCCGTCGCACTTCCTGAGGAGCCACAGCTGCTGGGGGGGAGCAGCTGTGCCGAAGCCGAGTCACTGAGCATGATTAACTTTGGGAAATTAATTTCTTAAATGTACTCTCTTACATCGTGGCCTTTTGCAAAAAGGTGCTTAAGGCATTGAAACAGAGACTGAGATACTTATTGAAGCTCCCATGACAAAAATCGATAGACTGGAAAAACTCAGGTGTCTTTTCCACACCGTGTCTCATCAGCCATCCCTGCCCTGCTGCAGCTGATGGAAGGACACTGTCTCGCCACCCCACCCTTGAGGGTGGCAGAGTGGATGTGTCCAGCTTGGGGAGGGAAGTTTGGCTGAGTCAGAAGGACCTCACGGAGCTTTCGGGTTTGTTTGGGTTGAACTCAGAGCCCTTCTTGTTAGAGAGGGTGAGAGCTCAGACCTCAGTGCACAAGGAAGGACAACCTGTTGTCTTTGGTGACTGCCCGATGCCTGGTTTTAAGCTCCATATTATAGGTTGGGAGCTCAGTCTGAGAGCTGCAGCCTCCTCCTCCTGCTCTCCTACCTTCCCCTTCTCTGTGGTTGGGGAGAGAAGGGCACCGAGTGTTGGGGACCAAGAGACAGGGATGAAGCGATGAGGACCAAAAGATGGGGATCAAGAGAAGGGGCCAAGAGATGGAGACTAAGAGATGGGAACCATGAGATAAGCACCAAGACAAGCACCAAGACACAGGGACCAAAAGATGGGGACGAAGAAATGGGGGCCAAGAGAAGGGAACCAAGAGATGAGGATCAAGACACAGGGACCAAGGCTTTGGGAGCAGCACATGGGAAGGCGTCTTGTACCATCACACCATTTGTCTTTCTGCTACTCATAACACAAAGCTGAGGAGGATTTGTGCACCTGTCTTGCTAAAAGTCATTTAGAAATGAGTCACAGGGACTTATGATCTGTAATTTTTAGCAAGCAGACATTAAATCCTCTTTTTACAGAATATAGTGGCAAATGAGATCCATTGCTCCCCTGGTCCAGCCCCCCAGGCTCTCTGTTTTTAAAAGGTTGGGGGGGGTGTGTGAATTTGCAGTAGTTTCCTCCAAAGTTAACTTGGTTTTTCCTTATGGTAATACATGTAAAAAGGTCAAGGATAATGAAGGAAACAGTGAATTCGAAGTTCTATGGAAGAGCAACTCAGCGCTTTTAGCAATTCACTTAAATGGGAGAGGAGAACCAGTTTCTTGAAGGTTTTAAAGCTTTCACAGCCTAATGAACTGAGCTGCCTCCCACAGTTTCTGCCGAGCCCAAATTCCTGCCAGGAACTGTCTCATTAGGCTCAAGTGGCACAGCCAGCCTGTCCTGCAGCTCCCACTGCCTTTCGCTCTCCCGCCTGTGCCACGGCTCCACCTGGACTGACACATCCAAAATATCAAACACATCTGAATGACTGCACCTCCCAGCCAGAATTAACCACCCTGAAGGAGAGGGAAGTCTGTTTCATATAAAAAAATCTGGATGCATATATACAGAATGGAGGGAGGGAAGCCTGGCCCTGCCATCTCATCCTCAGCCACCCACCAGAAATCAAGGCTGCTGCTGTTCCAGCTCATCTTGGAGGGTTATTCTCACTTGTGGTTCACATTTAAGTCGCTGTCGTGGAGGTTAATGGGAGTGATGTGCTTCTGACTCTAATGGGGCTGAGAAGTGGGAAAACTGATGTTATTGCACATAAATCGTGGTGTGTAATGTGCGAATTGTGTTTTGGTTTGGGCTGAAAAATAATAAAGAGAGGGATGAATGAGCATTAGGAGAGAACAGATTTCCCCCTCTAGATACTGAGGAGAATATTCATCATCATTACAGGCAGTTTGTTATCTGGCAGCATAGGAAGAGGGTAGGAATAATGAGGACTCTAATATTTGACTGATAAGAGGGGAAAGTCCTGCGGCTGTTGGGGCTGGAGCAGCAATGTGCTGTCCCCTCCTCCCTGTCCTTAAATTCTGGCTGCTGCAGAAGTGTAATTTATTCTGCTACTGGGGGCCAAGGTGTACCTGCCTCCCACTGCCTGGGGCTGAGGCACTGAGGCACTGCAAGGAAATCCCTGTTAACTGTGCTGGTTTTCATTGCTGCTTGTGAGTGGTTCAAAGTTCACTGTGTGGGAGAACCCAGCGCTGTGCAGGGAGGGAGCCAAGGAGAAGGTCCCTCCTGCATTTCTCCCATCACCGAGATGGCTCTAGGCATAAATTGACTTAAAACTTCAGGGATAACTCTGGCAGTCAGGAGTTGTGGAGCAACTGTGCAATGGCTGCAGAGTGGCTGGGGACTGATGTGTACCCCTTGTAGGCCCCCCTCAGAGACCCCACAGCCTCATGGAGCTCCTTCCCAGACAAAGGCAGAGCAGCCAGAGCGGGTGGGAATCACCCCCCTCACTCCCCCACCCCATCCTGTAATGCAGATTTTCATCCTACCCAGTGATGGGGAAGCTTAATATGCCCTAAAATATGAATGACTGAAAACTAAGCTTATGAGAAGTGGCAAATGTGCTGATCTCTGCATTTTTTAACATGAGAATTATCTAATAAAAAGGAACCTTGGAGCTCTTCATGAATTAGGCATAAGGGTATAGGAACAAACACGTCTGTGCTCAGCGCTGAAGGTGCCCCTGTAAAACCTCCCCTGCCCTTGCTCAGACAGAACTCTTGGAGCAGGATTTACTGAGAATCCCTCCCAAACCATTCTCAGACCCTGTGCCAGTGCCTTGGCCTGGTCGTTTCCGGTTAGATTATAGACTTTACTGATTACAGAATAAATCCCCTCCCTTGCCCTCAAAGCTCAACAGAGGAACACAAATAAGGACCAAACCCAACCAAATACAGGCCTGCCCCTGCCATGGCCATGCTCATGGCTGGTCAAATTCAAAGCAAATTCTTCCCTCCCACACCAATACTGATTTCTCTGCTCTCAATATTAAGGCTGAGTGGAGAATTTTTAATTCCTGTTTTTTTTTAAATTCTATTTTTTTGTAAGATTTTCTTGTTTGAAAGGATTTTGTGTTGCCAGTAGTAGCATGGGGTGGGGAGGTGGCCCCATTCCCGCAGTGCTGTGGGATGGGGGGCCACCCAGGCCCCTCACTCTGCCCCAGCTCAGGGCCACTTGAGAGAGCTGAGTGTACAAGGGGACATCAAATGGGTCGTGCCAGGTTTTGAGTGGCACTACAGCCCCCACGGCAAGCCCTGCATTGCCAGTGCTGAAGTGTCAGGCTAAACTCCATACTTTCCTAAACTTTCTCACATATATCAGTTTATGCAAGAATTTTAAAATTATTTAAGATTCTTTTAAAAGAAATGTTTTTTCTCCCCCCTTTTTTCTCCAAAGAAACAAAGCCTTCCATGGCAGCTGTGAAATATGGATTATTTACCTCCAGACTGGGCATAAGTTTTATCCAGCCTTAGAAGTAAATGCATATTTAGTCTTTAAGGCATATTGTTTATCCATGTAAATACATATTTTGGTATACACATTCTTCATAACACAGTTCTGTGGACTCGGTGGAGGTTTTGGTAGCAGAACATTTGCCATTGTCTATCTACAACACTTGCTCAGAAAATGTGCAAAAAAGCAGCTGTCACTATGATGGGTTTTAACACTCCTGTGTCTTAAAAACAGCAATGACTCGAAAAAAAAAATCTATTGAACAGTTTTAAAAAAAGCTGTCTAGCTCTGACAGATCCTGCCAAGTTCTAAACCCTTGAGAAACAAACTGCATTTGTTGCAGAAGTTGTGAGACATCCTTTCATTGAGTATTAGGATCATATTCCCGACCAGCAGCGCCACTGCTCCGTGTGGCCCTGGAGCCATGGGGGTGGCAGCCCTGTGTTACTGCACAAGGAGGAACTTCCAGAGTTCGGGGGTTCCCATGTGGACAACAACCTTGATATAAATGTTCAGCTAAGCCATTTATTTTTTGCATTTGAAAGGTGGTAATAAATATAATAAGATTTCCCCGACAGATATGAACATTATGGGTCAGAACTTTGAAGAACATACACCCAAACAGTTGGCTAAAGTGCACCCCACAAATTACAGGGTTGGAACGAGATGGGCTTTAAGGCCGCTTTCAATCCATTCTCTCATTCTACAGTTCCTAAAATGTGAAATGTTGGGTTCAATTTGCAGCATGGCCCATTTTTGGAGAACACCCCAGTAAGTCCCAGCCTGTACAATCACCAGGTCACTGCACAGCATGGATTCACCAAGAACCAAGTGTCTTTATTTGATCCACTCTGCCTCCAGCTCCAATCCTGCCAAAATTGGGGTTGCAGAGTCTCAGAGCACCTTCAGGAGACCAAACTCTACAGACCCCGAGGACAACCATCCTCGTGGCCTCACCCACCCCCAGGTCACTGCTGAGCACACAGCTGCCACAGACAGCAATCCCTGTGTCACCTAAGGAATGCCATTGGCACTTAGAGATATTTGGGAATTTGGCTGGATTTCTTTTTTCTTCTTTTTGGACTTGACAATAATTATGTCCCCCCAAAATGAAAATTCAAACATAGGACTAAAAATCTTGTACCTGTCATCCAGTGGCTCTACCTGGTCTGAATGCAAACAGTCAACACTTAACTACATATTATCTTTCCATATTTAATAAATCTGCTGTTCATTCTGTTCTGTTACTGGAAAGATCAGGTTCCAGATATCAGGGATCCCTGGAATGCAATATATCACCAAAATGCAGGATCTGATCCAGCCACAGCATAGAACCACCTCTCAATTCCACACGAGATGAGGCATATGGGTTGGGTTATCCCTATCCTTGGTTTTTCCTTCATCAAACTGTACTGCCACAATTCTTCCTGCAGCACCACTGTTTCTAGTGAATGGATTCTAAAATAGAGCACTTTAAAGCTGCAATACAAGATAGATCAGAATATCAGGGTTGTGTACAATATAATTTGAGCTGAATTTTTACCCTTTCCTTACAGAATGGATTTTGTCATGTTATTCCAGGTTTTAAAAAATGCCACATTTCTGAAAATAGTAACTGCTTAGCACATGGCTGCAAATAATGAGACACAGTTCGGTCTGTCACTGAACATGCAAAGTGACCTGGGACATCTCTTTGGAGTCAACATACCTCTGTTTATGCCCTTTATCAGCAACTACAACAGACTCACTGCATATTCTGGCTGCACATTGGGACAGTAGATATTGAGTGTAGCAAAACTCAGAGTCCTCCTTGTCAGAAAAATGGGGTATCTGTGCTGAGTTTGGGACTGCTGAGTACACCCAGGACTCAGCTGGTGCTGCTCTCTGCCAAAACCTGCTGTGAGGAGAATTAATGTTGTACTGTAATGTTTGTGTCAGCTACTGGAGCTCATACACAGAACATGGGAATGATCATGGTGAAAAGTGGGGGCTGCCCCACCCCTGGAAGTGTCCAAGGCCAGGCTGGACAGGGCTTAGAGCAACCTGGTCTAGTGGAAGGTGTCCCTGCCCATGGTAGGGGGTTGGGACTGAATGAGCTTTAAGGTCCCTCCCAACCCAAACCAGCCTGGGATTCTGGGATAATGGTTTTGTTATTTGTGTCATCAACAGTTGTTTGAGAGCAAGTCAAAATCTCTTGGGGTCGCCAGGGGATCTGAGATTCAAGGACTGTTGGCCACAGTCATGCCCCAGCAAGTCCCACAGATGGCAGTTTGAAATCAGGTGTAAACTGTGAGCACATTTCACATTAACACTGTCCAGGGGGGTTAAAAAATAAAAGCAACATTATACACTGTTTTGAAACTTGATCCTCATGGGCTGCAGGATTAGGAAATGGTGTGTGGGGACTGCCCTGCTGGGGGAGGGACCTGCACAGTGTGAGTACAAGTCCTGCCTGGAAGGATGATCCTACCGTGGACGGCAACATGCACTTCAGTACCATTACTGGAGCAACTTCCTTTTAATAGATATATGTATATATATAAAATTCTGCTGATACTTCATGTATTTTCAGATATCTAATATTTAAAAGCATCCTTTATCATTGCTAAATTAGCCAAACCAGTACAAAATTAAGTGCAAGAAAAATACCAATTCCCATCAGTTTTGCCAGTAATACAAAAGGGGACGATTCAGCTTCTGCCATTTACAGTCACGTAGGAATTTGGATTTAGGATGAGTATAGGAAACCTTCCTACATTCAAAAGATGCCTCAAAATAATTTGTGTTCTGTTTTGTAATGGGAAAACTAATTTTTACAGAGATCACCTACTGGTTAGTTGTGGTGGAGGTAAAAACAAAAAGGACTTGGTGCTACCCTTGACCTAAACCCTGTGTCTGGAGCAGCTTCTGGACCCCCTGGAGATGGCAGAGGAGGTTTTCCTTGTAGCCTGTAGCACCTTCATCCTCAGCTAGAGATTTCTTATGCTCAAAAGGATGCTTTAGCATTTCCCAAAACACATTCCAGATTTGTTGGAGAGGAAGAGGAAAGTCGTGTTTTATGAAGGCACAACCATGCTGAATTTGCAGGAAAAAGGGTAGAGAACAAAAGCAGTACTGCACAATGCAGTTATAATACAAGGCTCATTCTTGAAACCTGAATATCATGCTAGAAGAAAATCTAGATATGTGTAATATTCTGAAGAAGTACTTTGAAGGCAATATTATTTGATTTTTTTTTTACTCAAAAAAGAACAAATGCTTCTGTGTAAATGTGGAGAGAATGGTGGTTGAGAAGGGAACTGAATGTTTGTATTGCAGCCTTAAAGAAGCACATTTTTACTGCAATATCCTTTTTTCTTTTGTAAACTACAGTCTGCAACTCAGCAGACCATGACTGAATGCTTTTGAAAACTTGTCGATTACAAACATGAAATCACAATTAATATCCTCTAAAAGTAATTTCAGAGTTCTCACGTCTTAAAAAAGGACAATGTGTACTGCTTCACAAGGTAATGCAGCTAATCAAAAAAAAAGGAGGGGAATTAAAGTATTTACATAATGAGCAATTCTACAGAAGGCGATCATCCCCATGTAAGCACGGCTGATTATATCCCACGCTGCTTTTAACAAACTCTACCAGATTGGAGCCAGTCATCAGCACTCTCAGGGAATCCTTAAAAGCCTTTTATGGTCTTTACATTTAGTGCAGAATGATGTTCTTCAGGTAGAATATGCTACTGAGGGAGGACAGTGTCAACACAAGGTACCAGCAGGAGAAGAGGACTTCGGCGTCACCGGTGATCCCATACTGGGCTGTACTGGGAGCTGCAGAGAGAAGGAAAAGGGGTTCAGTGAAAATTCCCACCAAATTCTTAGTTTTCATTAATTCTTCTAAGATAATACTTAGGGCAACAGAAGCATTCTCCTGAAAACCAGAGAAAACACTGGAAAAGCAGCCCAACCCTCCTGTCACCCTGCTCAGGGAATATTCCTGTTTGTTTAAAGAGGATAAATTGTTTTTAAGGCAAGCATTTAAAACTTGGGAGTACTTAGTGTCAGATGAATGTTTCATTTTTAACCATCTGAATAACTGATCTGTTTCTAAGTTACTGAGCATTAAGATCTACAGTGAAAGCAATAAGAGGGGACTAGATTTAATTCTGTTGGAAAGCAACTCATTTACTGCCTAAGTCTAAAAGCCAAAGTTTGACAATTTTGCTCAGCCAAAGACATTCCCATGTATTTCTGGCCTCTTTAAAGAAATTGTATTTATTTGTTTACCATGAAGGCTTCCTCAAATTCCTGAGTAAATACACACTAACTGCATGCAAAGAGAGGGAAAATACAAGAAAAGTATAATCCTGAATTCCAAGTCTTGATCAGTCCAAACACTGGAATAGAAGCACCCCTTTTCCATCTGTACAGAACCCAGTGCTATGAGATCTGTTGTTAATGTATGACATTTTATTTGGTGAAGAGTATGTGATACAACCAAAATCTATTTGGCTTCCCCCCACGCAGAAAGGTTCAGGTAATAAAACCAAAACAAAACAAGATTAAACTTGATTTTGCAGCTTAGTTTAGCGACTGATAACCGTGACTAACTGTGGGACAGGGCACTCTCCTCTCATTAAAAAGGGGCTTTCTGGGCGAAGTCAGTGTGACAAATCAACCTTTAATTTATTACCAGACCCAGGCGAGGCTGCTGGAGCAAAGCACAGGTGCTGTTTCATTTTACGGTATTCAAAGAGTTTCCTCAACTTAAAGATAATTTGAACTATGGTGGCTATAAAAGCCAGCGGAAAAATTATGTAAATCTGATTTCCTGCATATGAACCGGTACTGTCTTTCTAAGGCTTATTAAATCATACCTGGATTGTTTCAGCACAAAGGTACAAGGTGAGTTAATGAGGGAAAAATACACTGACTTGGGCAGATAATAGAGAAGAGTTATGGTTCCCAGAGCTGCCTAGCCAGGGGAATTTGATGGGAGAGAAACCTGAAGGAGAAGCAAATATGGAGAAGTTTAATTATCAATTATGATGTCACAGTAAGCCTACTGCATGACATACAGCTTAAAATATTGTGCTTGGCTCTTAAAAGGTCTTTAAAATTAATAAGCTTCTGCAGTCCTTTTCCACCTCAGAGTATTGAATTACTTTTCCTGTGGCTCCCTGAATACTTTCCTGTTCCTAACTTAATAAAATCCTATAGATTTTTTTGTGGTGTTTCACAAACTTGAAAAAGTAAAGAAAGTTTTACAATTTACAAATTTAAAGGTTCTTAGTATGGTCTGCTCAGTCCTTTACCTACAAGGAGTAATTATTTTGGTAAGTAATAAGCAGTCCTTGCTTCCATGAGCATTTGCTGTGCAATACTATGCAAGGGAACTTTGTTCTTGGATTGTTAATTTTCATGGTGCTGTGTCAGACTAAGCCCTTAGTTTAGGAATAAATGAAAAGGTTTAAACATTTGAAAATAGCATAAAACATCTGCTTTCCCCCCCCTTTGAAATCTTCCCCTGTCATTGTTTCACACACACACACACACACACACAGTCACAGTCTTAATATTCATGTAGGAAGATAATGGTGCAGGTATGTGTGATCAGGCATTAAATAAAGCTGGAATTATTTGAGTCTGTGATTACATCCACAGCTATCCTGGGCTTTTACATAATCCCTGTCACCACCATTACAATAGAGCATGACATTTATAACTGATTTTACAGCCTGTGAAGCTTATGGTGTATGAAGAGGGGAAGGAAAAGTGGTTGGCCTTCAGAGAGTTAAGGATTCTCCTCTAGAACACCACCTTGGTGACTCTTAATAGAAACCGAGGTCAAACGGTCTGGTTCCCCTTGTGCTAACCCTTGTGAAGGGTCTGGAGCACCACGAGTGGCTGAGGGAGCTCAGCCTGGAGAAAAGGAGGCTCAGGGGGACCTTCTTGCTCTCTGCAACTCCCTGACAGGAGGGTGGAACCAGGGAGGGGGGTGTCAGGCTCTGCTCCCAGGGAACAAGGGACAGGGAGAGAGGAAACAGCCTCAAGCTATGCCAGGGAAGGTTCAGGTTGTACATCAGGAGGAATTTCTTCCTGGAAAGGGCTGTCCAGCCCTGGCACAGCTGCCCAGGGCAGTGGTGGAGTCCCCATCCCTGGAGGGATTGAAAAGCCATGTGGATGTGGCACTTGGGGACACGGGTCAGTGGTGGCCTTGGCAGTGCTGGGGAATGGTTGGACTCGATGGTCTGGAAGGGTTTTTCCAACCTCAGTGATACTGTGATTTTATGAGTTGGTGATGAGCAAATTCAGTTCAGAGCCCTGGTAGTGATACTTTAAAATACCTCAAAAGACAGTGAATTTCCACCTAGAAGAAGATTAAAATGAGCTCGATAAAAAAATCTGATGTCTGAAATATAAAATGACCCAGGATTTAGAAGATGTAATAAGTTTAAAATGTCAGCTTCAGTCATGGACGGACAATAATTTCCTTTCTTGCTAATGGATAAGTCATTAAATGTTCCTTAGAGCCCGAGCAGCTGCATCCCTGTGGGTGAGGGAGTAACATCCAGCTGAGCCACACACAGAGCAGCACCACTGAAGAGCTGGGAAGAGATCATGGATTCACAGGCTGGTTTGGGTTGGAAGGGACCTGAAATGCCATCTCATCATTTACATGGCGGGTCAGCCCTTTGGAAGGAAAAATCCCACGACTGACCCCAAAGTCCCAGGTGCACATCTAGGATGCCCATGTGCTCTTATCAAGCTCGCTTTTCTTCTAATTTAGTGATTATTCTACATAATCCTAATGTTTTATACCAGCCAGCCATTGTGAAAATATTTAAGACACCCTTAGCACAGATAGGATTATATTCAGACATCTCTCCTGGTGCTGAATAGAAAGGAACAAAGTAATATTATATCAGTATCTCTAATTAATACAAGAGATTAGGAGAAGTGCTGTGCTGGAACACACAAACCAGCATTTCCTAACACCAAGGGCTGCATTAACCAGAAATAATTATAAGCTTTAATGCTGATGCCGTGTAGACAAAAGCACAGACCCCTTTAGGTTGTCTGAATAAGCAAGACTAATTCTGTTAAATGGATTATGCAGGGAGATGTTAATAAGCATTTCATTTAACTATATTCAGGTTAATCATTTACTATAGGAAAGCCTTAATAAATTGGATTTTTTCATGCAACATTTAAAATATCCAGCAAAGGAAGGAATAAACTAACTCAAGGTCAAAGCGGGAAGAAAAAAAAGATGAAAACGACTGGGCTGTCAAAAAATGTTCTTTTAAAAGAAAAGATTGTGAGATAATGGGCCTCGGAAGGCTCAGCCGAGTCCTGGGATAACATCTCTACATATTGTTACACTTGAAGTTAGTTGAGGATTTATGGCTGTGCAGGAGAAGGTCGACAGCCTCTGAAAGATCTATTGGAAAGGAATGGGTGATAGAGGAGATAATCAGCCTGGAGAGCTCCAGAACAGGCTCCAGAGGGCTCTGACCAAAGGGGAGCTTGTCAAGATGAGAAACATCGCCCTGTGCCTCAGAGGCCAGGGAGGGTTGGAGAAAGCTTGACCTTGGGAGAACAAAACCTTAAAGTCTTGTCTAAAAATGACTCCGTGAAGACACCGATTTGTTTAGTCTTATGCAAATGCAATCATCCTCCAGGCTGAGAGACAGGAAATTCACTGTGATGGAAAATTCACCAGTGAAGTTAAAGAGATAAATCCAAAGGAGGAGGCCCTTTTGAAGTGTGTGCCAGATGGAGGCTGTGATTAAACAGGGCTTTGACCATGATAATAACACTGGAAAATGCTGAGGATTTTAGTAATGTTGAAATGCTGTTGGACCACGGCTGTAGTGGCTGAGAGGTGGATGTGGAGAATGAGAAGGTCCTCTCCAGTCTCATGTTCCTCTGTTACTGGCATTGTTTTTTTTTTTAAAAAAATTACCCCTGTTGAGGCTACACCTTGAATCCTGGGGTCAGATTTGGGCTGCTAAGGACAAGAAAGACATTGAGGGGCTGGAATGTGTCCAGAGAAGGGAACAGAGCTGGGGAAAGGTCTGGAGCACCAGGAGTGGCTGATGGAGCTGGGAGTGGCCTCAGCCTGGAAAAAAGGAAGCTCAGGGGGACCTTCTTGCTCTCTGCAACTCCCTGACAGGAGGGTGGAGCCAGGTCGGGGTTGGGCTCTGCTCCCAGGGAACAAGGGACAGGATGAGAGGAAATGGCCTCAAGTTGCACCAGAGAAGGCTCAGGTTGTACATTAGGAGGAATTTCTTCCTGGAAAGGGCCGTCCAGCCCTGGCACAGCTGCCCAGGGCAGTGGTGGAGTCCCCATCCCTGGAGGGATTGAAAAACTGTGTGGATGTGACACTTGGTGACATGGGTCAGTGGTGGCCTTGGCAGTGCTGGGGGAATGGTTGGACTCGATCTCAGAGGGCTTTTCCAAACTGAACAATTCTGTGTTTCTGTGAATCCCTGAAATTCTTTTTAATGCGAGAGGAGTGTGCAGCACTGCCCAGGTCAACTTCCCCAGAGCAAGTGTGAAATGCACAATGATCCTATATTTGAAATAAATCTATAGGTTTGTCAGAGATTATTTTATAAGGGATCTACAGTCAAATTGTTTCTGTATCCCAGCAAAGAAAGTTAAGCGAGGAAACCAGCACTTCCCAAAAAGTGAAACATGTCTGTGATGGCTCATGGGGCACCGGAAAACTTTCTCACTGAGTATAAGGAACCGTTGGATGAGGATGCTCAACACACTGGACATGAGCCACAGCATGACCTACATCAAATATTTCAGCCCAGGGA